ACTCTCAACCGCGCCACCAGGGAAGCCCTGGACTGAATAATCTTTATGTCTACTATTATCAAATACATATTAGTGTTAATGATGTATTAGGAGTGGGCTCCTACAGTCTATTTAGACTTCATATGCATTCTTAATAATAGCCTGAAATGACAATGAAATATTACTTTTTAAAAAGGAGTTTGGCATTGCAAATCTATTATGTTGAAATTTTTTTTCATTTTCCCATCAATTTCTTTTTTCATCTTTCCAATACAACACTTTTTGTTTTAGAGCCTTACATGTACTCTGCAGCTAGAGAATTACTCAGGTCTCCTAGTAATCTATATTCAACTTAGGAAGAAGCAGCAATTGCTTAATATATTCAAGTAGTAGCAAAGGTAAGAATGACTGATGGATAATCATCATATGGTTGTAAAAAGGTCAATATATAGCATTTTTTAAAAGAGTACATTTAACCACTCTCAACCTAAAATCCTCAGCAACCAGATCAGAAACAAGAACATTACATGAAAGTACGTGGGGGTAGCCCCCAATTTACAAGTCCATCTCCGATCAAAGGGAATTAGCAATTATATATTCCAGGGTTAGGCTCAAATGTGAGCTCTGTCCTTCATCAACAAATTGTTTAATAAAAAGACTGGAAGTACTTTAAAAAAAAAAAAGAAAGAAATGTTCTGATCATACCTAATATGCTTCTTCAAGCACAAATTTTTAACCACAGATACTGAGGAGTGGAGAGAAAAAAAAAGGACTAATGGGAAGATCACTTTGCCTCTGTCTCTACCCCCAGGTGCTAACAGAGCAGGGGACAAGCCAAAAGGATAGCAGTAGATGCGGAGAGACCATGGAGCATCCACCAACCAGATAATCATCGCTGGAATAGCTGGAGGTGTCTGGATGTAGGTATGTGTACCAAAGACTTCTGTGTGTTCCTGCAATCCATTATCTAGCTTTCCCATTAATGTTATACACCTGCCGTCTCATCAGCCTTTTGAAAGCCCTACTTGGCAGGACTTGGAGGCACGCACATATGCACACAGCCACTCAGAAATGCAGGGTGGCTCTCCAGCAGGAGGTCCTCTCTCCTCTGTGGGCTTTTAAAACATTCTGCAGAATGACTTTAAACTGCCTTCTGGGGCTTCCCTGGTGGCGCAGTGGTTGAGAGTCCGCCTGCCGATGCAGGGGACACGGGTTCGTGCCCCGGTCCGGGAAGATCCCACATGCCGTGGAGCGGCTGGGCCCGTGAGCCATGGCCGCTGAGCCTGCGCGTCCAGAGCCTGTGCTCCGCAACAGGAGAGGCCACAACAGTTAAAGCCCCGCATACCGCAAAAAAAAAAAAAAAAAAAACAACTGCCTCCTGATTCTGTAATCTCAGCATTCCCATATAGAAACATTTCCCACTGGCACTGAATCTTGTTTCCTGAGCACAGAAGTCCTTTGTCTTTGCCGTCCCACTATCTGAAATAACTTTCCCCAATCCTCTCTGCTGGTTTTAGTTCTGTTTTTCCTCCAAGACCTAAGTCAGGTTTCACGTACATGACAACATCTTGCTGATTCCCCATCCCAATTCATTCCTTCCTTTCAAATGTGTGTAGGGCTTGTAGTCATACCTCTCCTCTGGCATTTGACAACTTCTGTCATGTATGGCTGTTTCTCTCTTCATGCGTCTATCCTGTGTCCTCAGTGTAGCTGTTTATTTCTGAAGAGGCAGGATCTGTTGCATATTTGTATCAGAGTCCAGGACCCGGGGAAATGGGCTTGAAAAGAGCTACCATGATGGAGCGAGTCAACAAAGCGGCGTGGTCAGGAACACAGACTCTAGAGCAAGGCTGCCTGAGTTTGAGTTGCTGCCCAGACAACTACTAGCTGTGTGACCTTGGCAAGGTTTTTAAAAAAACTTTCTATGGGGCTTCCCTGGTGGCACAGTGGTTATGAATCTGCCTGCCAATGCAGGGGACTCAGGTTTGATCCCTGGCCCAGGAAGATCCCACATGCCGCAGAGCAACTAAGCCTGTGTGCCACAACTACTGAGCCTGTGTGCCACAACTACTTAAGCCCACATGCCTAGAGCCCGTGCTCCACAACAAGAGAAGCCACAGCAGTGAAAAGCCCACGGACCACAATGAAGAGTAGGCCCCGCTCACCACAACCAGGGAAAAGCCCGTGAGCAGCAACAAAGACCCAACGCAGCCAAAAATAAAATAAATAAATTTACTAAAAAAAAAACCCACAGGGCTTCCCTTCCCTGGTGGCACAGTGGTTGAGAGTCCGCCTGCCGATGCAGGGGACACGGGTTCGTGCCCCGGTCAGGGAAGATCCCACATGCTGCGGAGCGGCTGGGCCTGTGAGCCATGGCCACTGAGCCTGCAGGTCCGGAGCCTGTGCTCTGCAACGGGAGAGGCCACAACAGTGAGAGGCCCACATACCGCAAAAAGAAAAAAAAAACAACCCACAAAACTTCCTATGTCTTCGTCTTCTCATCTCCAAGATAGGAATAATAGTAATACACCCATTTCCTTAAGTTGTAAAATTTCAGTGAGCTAATAAAGAAAAAGAGCTTAGAATAGTGTCTAATATATATCAAACACTCAAAACTCATTACTTATTTGTTACTGTATATACAATAATAGTTAATCTCATTTAATTTCTCAATAATACTAGAAGATAGATGGCATAATTCCCATTCTAAAAACTGGAACCCTGTGACCCTGAGCGGTCAGGTTACTGCCTAAGATTGAGAGAAGGGACAGAATGAGAACCAAAGTGTCTGATCCTAAACCCTGGGCTGTTTTACTCCCCACGCTGTCTCACACAGGTGCCTAGCGACTAGTTCATATTGATAATAATGAAATTTATTCTTCTCTTTTCTTATGGTTTAAATCAAATTTGACTCAACAAGTATTTCTAGTCCCAGGCACTGAAGGAGAAAGATGAAGAAAATACAAGATGGCTATTCCTACCCTAGGATGTTTTACAATCTAGGTGATTCAAGTAATGAAACAAAGCAGAAAGATCTAACACATTTTTTAACCTCTCGTCTCTAGGTTCCTTATGAGACTGGCTCTTCCATGGTCCCTCCCTCACCCCATGTAATAATGTAGGTTGGACACAGTATCATTGTCTACAAAGATAACACTTTGGGGTTTGGTGGAATGTGCTACTTAAGAGTAAACTATAAAATTTATGAGTTTTAAAATTGTTTTATTTTATTTGAAATTATTTTGGAGAAGTTACAAAGAGCTCTATTAAACTTGGCAGACTAGCCCCTCTTGGAATGTCTGTATTTTCTAGGAAATTCTCAGCAGTCTTGTTCTTCTCACTGCCAGAATCCCTCGGCTACTGCTACTTCATTTGTGCTGTAGCACTTAGCTCTGTGTTGGGTTGTAGTAGATGATTGATAAATCCTTGATTAAGTTGAATTTTGTCACCCTACTAATACTTAAATATGCTCTGCTCTCCTGGCCTACCACTGAATTACAGAGTAACTTCAGAAGTCTCTCTGGACTTAGAGGAACTACCTTATGTGAAGCATACCCAAGAGAGAGGAATGGAAGAATTAACATGTTTGAACACTTACCTTATTCTAGGTTTTTTACTCTGCGTACAGCATTTTATTTAATTCTCAAAGTAACTCCATGAAATAGGTATTATTATATCCCCTTTACCAACAAGGAAGCTAAAATTCAGAGAGTTTAACAAACATTTTGTAAAAATCACAAAGCTGGTGAGAAAGAATTTCCAACACAAGTGTAATCAACCAAGCAAATGATGAAGTAAGTAATGGCGGTGAAGTGAGGGCTCAATTCAGAGTTATGAGGCAGGGACTACGTTTTGACACTAACTACAAGTGACTCAGACACATCATAGAACCTCTTCATGCCTCAGTTTCCTCATCTCACATGACATTGTCAGGAGAATCAAAATATTTTATTTGTAAGATGGCTTTGAAATTATCATTAACATTACAAACATATAGTCATGGGCCTGGTAAATATAAATACTGAAACATTGGAGAAATCCCCAAATGGTTTGAAATTCCTAGTGGGCCATGGGGAGAAGGTGGAAGCATTGAAAGGAAGTAAAGACCAAGCATGAAGAAACACCATGCCTGTGTAGGGACTCTGGGAGCAGATCTAGAAAAGATGGCTCTAGTACCAATGCTGACCCAATGCTGTTCAGTTACCAGTTACCAAGTGACAGTTATCATGTCCTTAAATGTGGGTATAATGGCCATAATCACTAAACCAAGGACTGGACACAGGACAAAAACATTGGAAATCAGGACTGTTGCATATGGAACCAGATACCTTGTATAAGGAATGGTTGTGTGGCAAACTTCTCAGTCGGAGGATTAAGAGTAATACTGTTCTTAAATACATGGTTCAAAAATATGTATCCAGGGCTTCCCTGGTGGCGCAGTGCTTGAGAGTCCGCCTGCCAATGCAGGAGACGCGGGTTCGTGCCCCGTTTCGGGAAGATCCCACATGCCGCGGAGCGGCTGGGCCCGTGAGCCATGGCCACTGAGCCTGCGCGTCCGGAGCCTGTGCTCCGCAAATGGGAGAGGCCACAACAGTGAGAGGCCCGCATAACGCAGGAAAAAAAAAAAAATATGTATCCAGCTCCCAAAGTACCTAAAACAGTGGTCCCCCACCTTTTTGGCACCAGGGACCGGTTTCGTGGAAGACAAGTTTTACATGGACCGTGCCGTGGCGGGGGGATGATTTTGGGATGATTCAAGCGCATTACATTTAATGTGCACTTTATTTCTATTATTATTACATTGTAATATATAATGAAATAATTATACAACTCACCATAATGCAGAATCAGTGGGAGCCCTGACCTTGTTTTCTTGTAACTAGATCATCCCATCTGGGGGTGATGGGAGATAGTGACACCCAAAGTGTTTTGCTTATGTCCAGTCTACTCTGTAATCTCGTTCTGGTTGCTATCACTGCAGAAAACCCTGCTTCACAAAGATAGGATGTTGGAAATGGAAGCAGGCATTTCAGTGCTTTTGTGTCAATCTCAGGATATTCTGCCTTGACTTTATTTTTTTTTTAACATCTTTATTGGAGTATAATTGCTTTAGAATGGTGTGTTAGTTTCTGCTTTATAACAAAGTGAACCAGTTATACATATACATATGTTCCCATATCTCCTCCCTCTTGCGTCTCCCTCCCTCCCACCCTCCCTATCCCACCCCTCTAGGTGGTCACAAAGCACTGAGCTGATCTCCCTGTGCTATGCGGCTGCTTCCCACTAGCTATCTACCTTACGTTTGGTAGTGTATATATGTCCATGCCTCTCTCTCGCTTTGTCACAGCTTACCCTTCCCCCCACCATATCCTCAAGTCCATTCTCTAGTAGGTCTGTGTCTTTATTCTAGTTTCCCCATGACTTTTTTTTTTTCTTAGATTCCATATATATGTGTTAGCATACGGTATTTGTTTTTCTCTTTCTGATTTACTTTGCTCTGTATCAGACTCTAGGTCCATCTGCCTCACTACAAATAGCTCAATTTCGTTTCTTTTTATGGCTGAGTAATATTCCATTGTATATATGGGCCACATCTGCCTTGACCTTAATCCAGAATGTGTGGAGATTTGAAGTTGTCTCAAACATACTTTTAAGGCCGCCGTCATTTGTGATCTCAAGAAGTTGATCCTCTTCTAGCCCAAAGTCAATTCACCTGGCTTATTCACAAATGGGTCGTGGATCCATTCCTTCGCAGTTTGGGAGTCTTTTGTGGTTAGGAAGTAATGCTCAGACTCTTTTGAAAGCTGAAATAGGTGATCATGCACCAGCTAGGAGAAAGAAGTTCCTGGCTCAGTCTTTTTCAAAATCTTTGCTAATGTTTACAACATGTCAAAAATCCCAATGTTCACTCATCACCCCCATAA